GGAAAAAAAGGTTCCAGCTTGACACAAGATGGTTACAGCATGATGGAATTCAGGAGGTGGTGAAGGAGGCATGGAACACACCTTGTGAGGGGACAAGATGGTTCAAGGTGAAACAGAAAATCAGGAACTGTAGAGTTGAACTACTAAAGTGGAGCAGTAGTAAGAAAGGGAATTCGATGGAAAGAATCAAATGGTGCAAAAACCAGATTGAGGAAATGAAGGAATCAGATGTGGAAAATAAGAAGCAAAAAATACAGGAGTTGAAAGGACTGTTGAAAATTGCATACGAGGATGAAGAAGCTTTCTGGAACCAAAAAGCAAGAGTGAGATGGTTAAAAGAAGGGGACAAAAACACTCAGTTCTTCCACGCAACTGTGAAGGGGAGAAGGAGAAGGAATAGGCTTCAGAATATGAAAAAGTCTAGTGGAGAGTGGACAGGAACTGAAGAAGAGGTGGGAAAGGAAGTAGCCACTTATTATAAGGAATTGTTTAAGAGTTCAGGGTCAGGGGAACTAGATGAAATCTTAGAGGGGATTCCTGTCTCTATAACTGAACAAATGAATAGGGAGCTAACTAAAAGAGTGGATGAAAAGGAAATAAAAGCTGCTTTCTTCTCTATGGATCCTAATAAGGCTCCTGGGAATGATGGAATGTCTCCTCTCTTTTTTCAAAAATTCTGGAGCATTATTCACAAGGATCTAGTAAGTGCAATCCAAGGGTTATTTAATAATAGTGTCCTTCTTAAAGCCATGAACCACACTGTTATCTCTTTGATTCCAAAAGTGAACTGCCCCACTGAGATTAAACAGTATAGGCCTATAAGTCTTTGCCAAGTAGTGTACAAAGCTCTAGCTAAAATTCTTGTTAACAGACTAAAGCCTTTTCTTAGTAGATGCATTAGCAAGAGTCAATCAGCTTTCGTTCCTGGTAGGCAAATTTTAGACAATGTCATGCTCTCTCATGAGTTGATACACTTTTTGAAAAACAAAAGACATGGTAGAGTAGGCTCAATGGCTGTGAAACTGGATATGTCCAAGGCCTACGATAGGGTGGAATGGGGATTCTTGAAAGCTATAATGGCCAAGATGGGTTTCTGTACCAAGTGGATAGAATGGATTACAACCTGTATCAGCTCAGTGACCTACTCTTTCAACATAAATGGAGAGCATAGGGAATTCATCACTCCTTCAAGAGGCATCAGACAAGGAGACCCACTATCTCCCTACCTGTTTTTGCTATGTTCAGAGGGACTGTCACACATGCTGCAAAAAGCAAAGATGGGGAAGGAGCTAACAGGGGTTAAGATCAGTAGAGGAGCTCCTGCTATCACTCATCTATTCTTTGCGGATGACTCCCTAGTTTTCTGCAAAGCCAACTCTCAAGAAGCTAGGAAGTTAATGCAAATACTAAAAGTGTATGAAGAGGCTACTGGACAGCTTATCAACATGGATAAATCCTCTGTGTTCTTTAGCAAAAATACAACCCAACCAGTGAGGCATGAAGTCTGTCAAACAATGGGGTCAATCCAGCAGGTAGGACAAGGCAAATACCTTGGATTACCAATGATCATTACAAAGTCAAAAGAGCAGGTGTTTGGTTTCATCAGGAATTCAATTGATAATAAACTATTGGGATGGAAAAACAAGTTGCTGAGTCAGGCTGGCAAGGAAATTATGCTAAAGGCGGTGGCGATGGCTATGCCTACCTACACTATGTCCTGTTTTAGGCTACACACTAAGCTCTGTAGAGATATCAGTGCCAAAATGGCAGACTACTGGTGGGGTGAATCTGAAGGGAAGAAAAAGATGCATTGGATTGGCTGGAGGAAGATGACTGAAAAGAAAAGTACAGGAGGAATGGGGTTCAGGGACTTGAAAATGTTTAACAAAGCTCTACTGGCCAAACAAGTCTGGAGGTTGATAACACAACCTAACTTGTTGGTCAGTAAAGTTTTAAAGGCGAAATATTATCCTAAAGAATCCATTTTCAATTGTAATGTGCCTCGGAATGCTTCATGGCTGTGGCAAAGCTTATCAACTGCTAGAAAAGATGTCCAAGATGGAAGTAGGAGGAAAGTTGGGAATGGTAAAGGTACACGTATATGGGATGACAACTGGATTCCAGACAGACCATCAGGGAAACCAACGTCTGCAAAGCCTCAGGGATGTCAACTCCAGTTTGTATCAGAATTGATGATCAACAACAGATGGAACACAGTGCTGATCTTCAGAATATTTAACTCACAAGATGCTGAGAGGATCTTGAAAATCCCTATAAGCTTAACTAGAAAGGAGGACAGTTACTACTGGATGCACTCGCAGAATGGACAATATACAGTCTAGTCAGGCTATAAGACTTGGATGAAGGAAGAGAATCTGGAAGGCACAAGGAGGAGGGAGGATACTGGAACAAGCTATGAAGGGACCATGTCTAATACCTGGAAAACACTATGGAAGCAAAAGGTAAGCCAGAAGATGAAAGTCTTCATTTGGAAATGCCTGCATGGTGGTCTTCCTGTGAGAGCAGATATACACAGAAGAACAAGACAAGGGCATCCTTTTTGTATAGGGTGTGGAGACAAGGAGGAAACTCTTGAACATCTACTGATCCAGTGTACAAAAGCTAAGGAAATTTGGAAGATGGCTCCGGTGCAGTGGGATGGAATTATGGAGCTGTCAGATTGCTTCATCAGGTGGTGGACAACAATAATGGAAGCTCAACAAGATAGAGGAAGGGAGGACCAGGTGAACCTCACCATTAATATCCTCTGGCAGATATGGAAAGCAAGGAACGATAGAGAATTCAACCACAAAGAAAGAGAACCTCACAAGATTATTCAAAGGGCCATGAAGGAGTGGACAGAGTTTGATGAGGCAAACAAAGGCAACGTAGCAAGGAAGAACACTCAGGAAACAGAAATACAGCAACGAACTGAACCAGAGCTAGAGCAAAATGAGAGCCATACCAGCCTACTGATCAAGATCCATACACATCAAGATAAAAGACAAGCAATAGTAGGGATTGGAATCACTGCAACTGACTCTATGGGACAAATTCAAGCGGGTTGGGCACTAAGAGAAAGATTATCAACTGAGCCAATTCAAGATCAAGCGGTAGTAGTGAGACTCGCGTTACTAAATGCGATCAGCCAAGGATGGAGCAGTATCAGAGTGGAGCTCGATAACAAGGAGCTGATGGAGTGTATAAAAGGTTCGAGGCACTGCAACCATATGATGGCTACTCTAATGGAAGATATCCAGTTCATTAGTAATCAGTTTCATAAGTGTTCTTTCTCATTTGCTAATACAGGGAAAGTAGGCAGTATTAAATTGAGCTTGCATGCTCTAACCATCTGGATAGATGAAGAATGGGTAAATCCCACTCTTAGGTGCTAGGCACCAAGTTTTTGTAGGACGTCTGTCCTTTTCGCTGGACCTTTGTCCAAATATTGTACAGTTTAAAGTGCTATATATATGAAAAAAAGCTATCATTTCGACAAAAAAAAAAACAAACAAACCCGCAGTTATTCTAGTTATTGAAGACACAAGTATCTTCAGTATTTAGAGGTTAGTTTTTATCCCATTTTTTATGGTTAGTTATTCTAGTTGTGCCTGACAGGTCGGGGATGGAAAGGATATGGGGAAGGGTGAGAGTGTTTAAAAAAACAAAGAGTCTGATTTCTATCTAATTTGGTCAAATTGATGTAATTCTGATAACTTTGGTGTAATTAACTCACACAATAATGATTTTTATATCAAGTTAGTTGTATTAGATGAAAATTTACGTTTATATCAAAATTGTATTAGTTTATCCTAAATGTCGTAACAATTGCATAATCGTACATAACTAGACAAAAGTTCAACTTCAAAGGCTCCGGATCCATATAGGACCCTCATTGAACTGGTCTTGTAGATAACCTACGGTGATAACAACTCATTTACGTGGACATTCGAGTACGAGAAATTAAATGAGAAAATCTCAGATCCAAACACATTGATGCACTACTGCAAAAATGTGACAAAATATATTGAGACTCACCATCTTAAATAAAGGGCTCATCTAGTGATCACATTTGGAGTAAAAGTAACAATGTTTTGAAGATTCAATCTACAAAACTTGTGTTCTGATACAAATTAGAGGGTAAGATTAATCAATTATTAATAGTAAAAGCAACAAATACTAAGATTATAATAAAAATAATGCTTAATTAACTATGAATAGTAAAAAATATATATAAGAGCATACTGGTTATTTTGTTTAGTTGGTATTGCTTTTAAATATTAAGCAATTATAAGCTCTATTCTGTTTATATCGATTTAAATAGTTAAGGTGATATATTACATTTGCATATTGTACTGATTACAAGTGATTATAATTAATTTTATGTTTGATTATTGTACTGTTTTGATCTGTTATTGATTCTGTAACCAATGTATCAGCTGTTACAAGAATCTTTATCTAACATAAATAAAACGAACACTTTATATTTTGTGCCTTCGTGTTGTCATGCTGAAATTTTAACCGTTCGGATCAAATACTCTTACATGCATGAAACTGATTTCTGTGATATATAACGCAAAAAATCCTCATCAAATTTTCAAGGGTACAATACTCTAAGAAGTAGACAAATGCAAATGCACCAAAAAAAATTTTTTTTTTTTTACTGTCAAACATTTATACGTAATGATATTCGTAATTGATTTTTTTGTGAGAAAATCTTTACCTTGACCACCCCATATCATTGCTTCACTGTGATTGTTGTCCCTTTTTTTATTAGAAAAATCATGTACTCCACCAAATCCAATAAAATAGCAAAATAATTCAAGGAAAAGTTAAGTAGTTGAGCTAAACAAACACAGCTGGTCCGCAACACAATGACTTTTTGGCATTTAGATAACTCACACAACTCAAAACTATTAAAAAGCCCTTTGGATTATAGTTTTTCCCTCACCCCTTTTCTTTCACTGTCCTGTTTTCTTGGCCAGCAAAAGCCAGAAGAAATGAGTCTTGCTGGAAAGCTGGTTAACCAAATCGAGATAAAGTCCGATGGAGATGTGTTTCATGAAATTTTTAGGTACAGACCACATGATATATCCACCATGAGCCCTAGTAATGTTCAAGGCTGCGATCTGCATGGTGGTGATTGGGGAACCGTAGGATCTGTCACTTTCTAGAACTTTACTCATGGTAATTGAATTTCCTCAAGATTTCCCCTCTTTTCTTTTATTCCCTTCAAATATTTTCTTTTCTCGAAAAACATTAAACAAGTTTTCAGCTCAAACATGACATTGGTGCAACACTAAGATTGTTGTTATCATGTAATCAATCGTTAAAATTGCAAGGTGTGAGTAGAGGTTACAGGTCTTGAATCTTTTGGTAGTCGTGATGCCACTGGGAAAATTTATTTTTCTTTGGGGTGTCACACGAAGTTTACCATTCATTCAATTCCTTTTTTTTCCTCTCAGATGGGAAAGAGAAAGTGGCCAAAGTGGTAATTGAAGCCATAGATGAGGCGAAGAAATCAATCACGTTCAAAATGATTGAAGGAGATCTAATGGAGTTTTACAAGACCTTCATCGCAACTGTTCATGTTGAGGCTCTGGGTCAAAGCTGCTTGGTTGCATGGACCATCGAGTATGAGAAACGAAGTGAGAATGTCCCTGACCCAAATACTTTGATGGAGTTAGCCCTTAATATCACTAAGGATATTGAGACTCACCAGCTCAAATGAAGGGGTATTAACCCTTAATGTCTCTTTAAATGATGGGGTATATTAATATTTCATCATATATGGCATGTAAATATGTATTTGGGAGTCCCCAGCTTTAAAATTAGTGTGTCGAAAAAATGAAATTAAGCTTGATGAAGATTGTTGTACAAAGTAAAAAACTGAAATTATTGTTGTGTGTGCAATAGTTTTATGTGTGTTGCTACGGTTTTATAATTTATGTAATTAATATTGTGCTTGCTCTTATGAATTTTGATAACATTATATGTTTTGCTGCGGTCCTATAGTTTAATTACTAATTGTTATTGGTGGCTTAGTAGATATATACATAACGTATATTGACGTGCGCGGAGTATACATATACAATTAACCTCATCCTAATCAAGTTTTACATTTATAAACTCCTAAACACCCCACACGCGATTTATCGCAAGTATACGAATCGTGAGCGAGTATAGGGTATTAAGGGTCGATCCCACAAGGAAGATTGCAATTACCGGTACTACTAAAGCTTCTCTATTATTTAGACTATCAATGAATTATAACAAATTTTACCTACTCAAATTATACAAAATAACAAATGAAAGCTCCTTGGGTTGTGGTATCCCTAACTACTCATGCACGTGCTATATTTGGATCATTGAATACTACATCTAGGCTAATTATGGTGTAATTTCCTTATGCATTTGAATCCTACTTTCGTAGTGAATCAATTATACTCATAACTAATCCATACCTATTTTCATAGTTATGAAATTAGCTACAAGTTCATTTCTTCAATGAAATTACATGAAATGAATCACTAAAAACCACATAAGTGCACCTCTACTTTCGTGAGTGTACTCCCTATGTTTAGCACTTCTTGAACTAGTGTTAAATCTCAATTTTCATTGCAGAAACAACACCTTAGATAATCACAATTAATGGTACCAGATTAATCATGATTTCAAGAGCTAAAGTGCTAAATAACTTGCTCAAATCATAGCAGTCAAATAACCAAATAATAAACACTAACAATTATAGAAAGTTCAACCAAACCCAAGGTATAAACTTTAGAAACACATAATGAACACAAAATCCAGAACTTGTATATTAACTAAACTTGGAATCAAATACAAAAGATAAAGAGTTTGGAAGGAATACAACCCTTGTCACATGAGCTTTCTTCCTTGCCTTCTTCATCCTCCATCTTCATCCTAATCTAGATAATAAACAAGAATGGAAAAGCTACACTACTCTATACTAAGCTAAACTAACACTAGGGAGATGAAAGAGCTACATTTCTGCAGCTTCAAGCTTTCTCCCGTAGCTCTCTCTATTTTTCTGCTATGAACTCCCCCCTCTATTTTTGCAATGCATTTTGGCTCTTTTATGATGAAAGGTGGTCAAGAAATGAGGATTACATCTCCCTTTTACAGCTGGGAATGTTTCTCACATGTCTAGCATCCAATGTGAGTTGGTGGAGGTGAAATTGATTTTTTACGCGTACAGAGCAGCCTTTTCTGACCAGTGATCCGAGCTGCTACAGTACCTCGGATCCGTATGGATCCGAGCTCGGATCCACTAACCCAGAAACAACCGAGGGTTCGGATGAATAGTGGATCCGAGTGTGGATCACTTGCTCTGTTTTTGGCCCAACTTCAACCAATCTTTTCTTGATGTTAGAGGCTGAACCAGCTCTTGACCAAAACATAAAACTTGTAGCCCTTTGAGTTAGCTTTCCAATTCATCAAGAATCACCTCATTTGGATCTGTGTAGGCTGAGAAATGACCGAAATACCCTTGCCTGCTCATTGCCCTGTTCCAGTTTCGACCAGTAGAAATTTGCTATTGTAATTCGGCATTTTGACCTGGAAAACCTTCAAACTGGATTTAGATGTCTTCACCAAAGTTGTAGATCTATCTCTTATCTTCAAATGGGTTCAAGAATCATCCCAATCCGATCATTGTAACTCAAGTTATAGCCGAAATACGAAAATGTGTCAAAACTGTCAAAATACACAAAATCCAAGTAAAAAGTGATAAAAACCTCATTTAATCACTTAAAAGCATTTTTCACCAATTATAGCCAAAATGATTCATATTCTTCCAATAATATAACCAAAGTGACTAAAAATAATATAAAATGTCATACAATTATTACGTAAATTAGTCACTTATCAAACTCCCCCACACTTAAATCATTGCTTGTCCTCAAGCAATTCACACATAATCAAATGCAATGATTCAAGAGGTGAAACAATATATGCACTTTGTCCAATTTAATTCCTCAAGACTTGGAAAATAATTATTATATAATTATTCAATTTACACTAAATACTCATAATATCAAGTAAAGGAAAGATAATTATATCCTAAATTCAACAAGTTAAACTTAATCTCTTACCCTAACCTAATTTCACAAATAAGCAACCCACAAAGTCGATTTATAGCCTTCCTCCTCCTATAATCATCCTTTTCTCAAAATTTTACATCTAAGAGGGATTTATTCATACTAATTTTACTTAATTAGTGAGAATGCCTTTTTACGCGAAAATCGACACTTTTAGGTGAAGATTCCCGGTTACTCAACATTTCACTTATTCAAGTTGCAATGCATATTCTTAATTCAAGTACCTTTTTACGCGAAAATCGACATTTGTAGATGCCAACCCCCGGTTACTCGGTACAAAAATCATTGGAGTAGAATAATTTTTTCTTTCTTTTCTTTTCTTTTTTTTTTTAAACTAAAGGACAATAAATAGATATTCCCTCTTAGAAAATATATAAGACTAATCAAAGGAGGAGTATAACCTTTTATCAACTATGTCAATCACTTACTTGCAAAATTAAGTAAAGAGAAGAAATCTCATTAAACATGTAAAATTATAGGCATAATTTTCCTCACTTTACCAAATATACTTTCTAAAATGTAAAAATTCTAATTGCATAATAACTATTTCCAAGTTAAATGAGGACTAAACCTTCCAAAATACACATAAAGTTTCAACAATTGGAAGAATAAAAACATTTAAAGTTGGAACAAATTAGCCCTTTTTGAATGAAAATGCAAAAATTTGAAGAACTTTTGGGCCATAGTGACATATTGGACAAGATGTTAGACAAATTTTGACGGAGTTTCCCCATATAAATGGAAGAAAACTCCCTGCCAACAAACCCAATTTCAGGCAAATTATCCACATGGCAAATAATTCAAACACAATTCCAATATTTCTAAGCATTTAAATCCACAAAATATCATCACATAGCATTAGAATGCAAGTTCACATATTTCCTCCCCCACACTTAAACTTCACATTGTCCTCAATGTGAGAAAAGGAAAATAAAGAAAGAGTAAAAGAAAATACTCCCCTTATGACTTGCGCAATCCGAATCCATGTCCAAGTGATGAATTTCCAACTTTACTTGAAAGAATGGAGACTTCAATTAATGCACCTTGAAAAAAAAACAAAAATACAATTCTTAAGAATAAAAGCTTGCAACCAACAAGAAGAAAAGTGGAGTTGAAGGAGGAAAAAGAGGGAAGAATGAAGAAAAGTGGTCCGAGGCTTCGTTTGGAAAGGATCCGAGGTCGTTTTTGAAAGGATCCGAGGTCGGATCATGATAAGTGAGCTCGGATCAAGAAGCTCGAATTTTTTCTGATTGCAGAAGTGGATCCGAGGCCTTGGATCCATACGGATCCGAGCTCGGATCAAGAAGCTCGAAGTTTTTCTCTGATTGCAGAAGTGGATCCGAGGCCTTGGATCCATTGAATCTGCACTTATTGCAGAATTTTTGCAATTTTCAGTTTGACCTCAATTCTTCAAAATACACCCTAGATCATTTCTATGTCAAAATAAACCATTCACACACATGTAAAATGATCTAAACATGCATTCTAAACCTCTTTAATGCATCAAAAACCATAATTACTGAATTTGAGGTATTGAGATCTTTGATCAAACTTCGCCTTTTTCACCTCATTTGGTCACTTTTGCATCTTTTTCCAAAACCTACAAATGAAAAAATAACAAAATAACTCAAACTCATACTTTAAACATAAAATCACTCCAAAGTAACACCAACTTAAACAAGCATTGGGTTGCCTCCCAATAAGCGCTTCTTTAAAGTCAATAGCTTGACTATTTCTCCTCATTTTTCAAGGAGGTTTAGTTAACGAATAATCCACCATTTTAGGCCTTGGTGGATCATTGTAAGGTGACTTAATACAAAAAGCCACATGATCTAATGATGTGAGAGATGGAAGTGACTTACATATTCCAAGTGTTTCATAGATATTACCTTGAATATGCACCACTTGAGAACTTACCAAAGGAAATGTCATAAGAGTATCTTGGGCAGGAATACCTTTAGAACCTATACTTTCACTGCACTCCTCAAGAGGGGTGAAAAATGAGTCATTAAAACTCACCTCTTGAGGCTCAAAGTTAGTTCCAAAGATATTATCATGTGAAATGGACATTTGCTCATTGAAACACAATTGAGATTCATCATTTTCATCAAAATGCAACCCATTTTCACATACAACATTCCCATCATTCATGCTAGGATCATTTTGCACATTATTAGAGGAAATAACTTCACACAATGCATTCAATTGCTCATGTATTCTACCAAAGTGAGAAGCCAATTCATCTATCCTTTCCTCAATCCTATCAAAACGGTCGGAAGTCACATTAGCTAATTTTTCTATAGCTAACTCCCAAGATGGCTTAGAATCATTAGCTACCATTTCAATTGCCAACTCCCAAGATGGTTTTGATTCATATTGGACACTTTCAGATTAGTAATCATAAGAATATGGAGAATCACTATATACACATTGATTATCCCAACCATAAGCATTAGCACTATATCGATCAAAACAGGGATTGTAATGCTCTAATTCATCATAATAATCCACATTTTGTGCTTGCATGCATGTGTTAGTAGCATGATAATCTCCACACAAGTCACAAATCACATGATAAGAATTAAAAGTATTAACATTCCTTCTCTGCTCA